CATCATCATCATCATCATCATCATCATCATCATCATCATCATCATCATCATCATCATCATCATCATCATCATCAGCATCATCATCATCATCATCATCATCATCATCATCATCATCATCATCATCATCATCATCATCATCATCATCATCATCATCATCATCATCACCATCATCATCAGCAGCAGAATCATCAGCATCATCATCATCATCAGCATCATCATCATCAGCAGCAGCATCATCATCATCAACAGCACCACCACCACCACCACCACCATCATCATCGGCAGCATCATCATCAGCAGCAGCAGCATCAGCATCAGCATCAGCAGCAGCATCATCATCAGCATCCTCATACCCAGCATCATCATACCCAGCACCATCATCAGCATCATCATCATCATCAGCATCATCATCATCAGCGTCATCATCATTATCTTCATCAGCATCATCAGCATCAGCAGCAGCAGCATCAGCATCATCATCATCAGCATCTTCATCGTCATCGTCATCGTGATCGTCATCGTGATCATCATCAGCATCATCATCAGCATCATCATCATCATCATCATCATCATCCTCAAACTCATCATCATCGTAATCGTCACCATCATCAGCATCAGCATCAGCAGCAGCATCAGCATAATAAGCATCATCATCATCTGATTCAGCATCATCATCGTCGTCGTCAGCAGCAGCATCGTCACCATCATCATCACAACCACCACCCCCATCATCATCATCATCAGCATCAGCATCATCAACATCATTATCATCATCATCATCATCATCATCATCATCATCATCATCATCAGCATCATCATCGTCGACAGCATCATCATCATCATCATCATCATCATCATCAGCATCATCATCATCGTCGTCAGCAGCAGCATCATCGTCATCAGCATCACCACCACCACAATCATCATCACCACCACCACCATCACCATCCATCATCATCATCATCATCATCATCATCATCATCACCACCACCATCATCATCATCATCATACCCAGCATCATCATCATCAGTATCATCATCATCAACAACTACAGCATCATCCTCATCCTTCGTCATCATCATCCGCATCAACATCAGCATCATCAGCATCATCATCGTCGTCATCGTCATCGTCATCATCATCGAATACACATCATCATCATCATCATCATCATCATCATCATCATCATCATCATCATCATCATCATCATCATCATCATCATCATCATCATCATCCTCAGCCTCATCTTCATCCTCAACCACATCCTCATCCTCAACCTTATCCTCATCCTCCCCCTCCCCCTCCTCCTGCTCCCCCTCCTCCTCCTACGACTCCGACTCCGCCTCCTCCTCCTCCTCCGCCTCCTCCCCCTCCTCCGCCTCCTCCTCCTCCTCCTCCTGCTCCCCCTCCACCTCCCCATCCTCCCCCTCCTCTTCCTCCTCCTCCTCCTCCAATTCCATCTCCTCCTTCTCCTCCTCGTCCTCATCCTCGCCAATCCCTTCCCGTTATATATATATATATATATATGTATATATATATATATATGTATGTATATATATATATATATATATGTATATATATATATATATACAGATATATAACACTCACCTCTGTCGGTGCCCCTGAACTGACTCGCCCGACGCTGTGGTCACCGCACGGTTCCTGGACTTCTGGAACGAAGGGCCCCCGAGACATCCTTGGCCTCAGCCTTGGCCAACACATGTCTGGACCCCTTCCCCGAGACCAGCTTCTCATCCGGCGAGGGCCGCCAGAGGCCGAACAATACCGCAAAAAACACACGTCGGGACTTGCTCACGACACGCGGAGGCCTGGCTTTGTGGCCAGAACTCGCCATAAGCCAGCAAGAACTCCGAACGGCTTCCGAACCACGGGCATGGGAGGCGGCAGCGGGGGATCACTGCATACGCGGTGAACGGCAGTAACGGCAGCGCCCCACAGGATTGGCGAAACACAAGGACAAACACAGGGAGGTAACCACAAGGACTACCACAAAGACAACCACTGATGGAACTCGGAGGCCCTGGGAAAGGGAAGGGGGGGCTCCCTGCGCCTACCTCCGCCTCCTCGGCCCTCTCCTGGCTCAGGGGCGGAGGGATAGATCTGGAATCGGCGATACATCACCGATAGAACCGCGATAGGCGCCTGATTGCAAGGCGATCGGGGGTCGATGCACCCCCCCTGAGCCCATTCCCCCCATCGTTGCCCCTGATCTCTTCTCTACTCGAAGTTGGACGCCCGAAATTGGTACGGAAAGGCACGATGCCCAACAACAAATGCTGTCCAACACCAACAGCGGCCTCTGGGCAACGACCGCAGCGACGCCAATAGCAAACCCTGTTGAAAATGAACAGGAACTGCTGCCAGTCTTCGTCTTCGTGCTCATTCTTTCCGTATCCATTTCGATCGTACCAAAAGGTCCGAAAAGCAAGCTAGCGCTGGCTGGCCCAACTTGGAGGCAGCCGAGGGGTCTGCACTTGTTAGGGCCCCAGAAAATCTGTCCGAACACGGCTCCGCAAGGCCGAAAATAACAAATAACCTCCTCGAACCTCGCCGCCCTTCCGGCTGGAGGGAACCAGAGCAGGGCCACCTCAGACCCCAGCCGGCTCCAAGGAAGGCCCACCCCCCCAGCTGATAAGCAACAAAAGTACCCTAATCCTTTGGGAGGGGACGCAACCAAACCAAGGACCCAAGTCAGGCCACGACTCGATTTTGTTCTTGGGGCTCGGGGCTGCACTGTGCCTAACGACCCGCAGAGGCCGCCTCCAGGGCCTTCTCGTACTTCTCCAGCGAGGAGTAGCACGCCGACCTGCGCGGCCGCGGCAGACGAGGCGGCGCGGGCCGGCACGGCCCGGCCCCGTGCTTGGATGCCTGAAGTTTGCCGATTTCGGGGGCGTCCAAGATCTGACCAGAGGGAAGGGGGGGGGTCGTAATCCCAGACCTCCACCGTCTCGAAAACTCGAGGCGCTGTTCTTTCTCACTGTTCGACCTCTGGGGGCCCTCGCCGGGCCCCAGGAGCGTCAAAGAGCGACTAGGGATGAAGAGCTGGTCCTGGGGAAAAGGTCGAGGCCTCTGGGGACCGCGCATTGAGAAACTCAAGAAATCGGATGTCTGGGAAGGGGTGAGCGAATCGACTCACGTGCTTGATGCTTCTGGCGCCTCGCGCCAGTGTATGGAGGAGAGCGTCCAGCAGCGGGGCCGAACCCGACTTCAAGCAGCAGATTGCGTACACCCCCGCTACCCTTGTTTTCCCCTTTCGTCCGACCCGACAGAAAAAAGGGCGTCCAAGAGGGGGGCTCGCAAATCGCCCAGGGTGGGCCAATGGACGCGTTGAAATTAGAAGGGGGGCCATGGAATCTGGTGAGATATCATGGTCCCGGCCACGATACACACCTCCCGCTGGTCATCACCCCTCTGTTGGACGCCACCGACGGCTGGTGCGTTGGTGGCTGAGCCGGTGTGCAAAACCAGCTGGATCGAGACACCAAGATATTTGCCTGTGATTCCGAGCCACCATTTCACGATCCCGACTGTTGGTTAGCCAAGCTGCGATCACGCGTGGACCGTCTGAGGAAACGGCCAACCACCACGCAGATTCCGAAGAGGTGGTTCGGCATGTTTGGGTAGCGTGTGACTGCGCAGGCAGATAGCAATATTTACGGTTGGCGTTGGAAAAATTGCGTGCAAGATCGGATCTCCAGAAGGCACGCTATGCCTGTGGGGCTATCCCTCTGACAGGGCTTCTTCGGTGTACGCTTTGCCCAAGGTATGGGATGGCGAGCAGTGAGCGGGCAGGTGGCTCCGCATCGAACGCAGCCCTGCCAACGCCAAACGCAGCCACAATCGCACTGACCACCAGGTCCTGGGGTCCAAACCACGGCGACGCGCACGGCGGGGCAACTACTCGCAAGGGGGGGAGGCCTTCTGGGGAGGCGGGTGCCTGGGCCTCCGTTCGCAGCGGAAAAGGAAAGCACGATGGGAGGCTTTGGCACCCTGAGATCCCGGCAGCGCCTCCATTGCACGGCGCGGAACGCGCCAGGGGACGACGACGACTCCGACGACGACGACGACGACGACGATGACGACGATCTCCAACGCACCCTGAGACCCTGGCTTGTCTTGTTCCCGTCGTACTTGAGGACCACATCCCAGAAATAATTCCGAGCATCCCGAGGAGTATCGTAACACTGTCTGCCCGACACGCTGGCGAAATGCCGAACGAGTGTCGGCTCCCAGGGCCCGACACGTGAAGACCATCCAGTGCCGATGCTTTCTTGGTGCTCGAAATTCTTTCTGGTGATCAAGGCTGAAGCAGGTTGGAACATGATAAACTTTGGCATGTTCTCGGGGTTCGGGGGCCCTTGCTGGGCCCGATGGAACCGTCAAAAAGCGGCTCCGGGGGAAGGACGAGTCCCGAGGAATCCAGCAGCGGCGACGAGAGCCTCCCAGGAGGCCCAAAAGGCGAAAACGAGGCAAGGGTATGGGTATGGGAACCTTCCCTCCTCTGATCCGCCGCGGAGATGACATGCACGATGGGAGGCCTTAGCATGGTTTCGGGGTCCAGGGGCCCCTGCTGGGCCCGAGGAGCCGCCAAAGAGCGGCTCTGGGGCAAGGACAAAAGCCCCGTGGAGGAGGCCCAGACCTCCGAGCGCCCCATGCTGCGAAAAAAAATCACGACGCCGGAGGCCTGCGGAGGAGGCGGGCGGCCTCCTGGAGGCCCTCCGGGCCTCTAAGAAGCTGTCGTGGAAGGCTCCAGGCCCTCCAATCGGCGGCGAGCGAGAGGGGGCGAACCTTCTCAGTAGGCTCGGAAGTCCCCCAGCCTTCTGAGAAGTCTTCTTCTGAGAAGCCCCGAAGCCCCGCCGCCTTCTGACGAGGACTTCTCCTCCTCACTTCCCCCCCTCGCTCGCCGCCGTTAGAAGACAATGGGTGCCTCCAAAATGCAGCGCCGATCCGCGCGTCGGCGAGGCGTCTGCTGCGTCGGCATGGAAAAAAACGAATTCTGGTTCGCGCGGGGCCATCGATGCATCGGCGATGCGGCGCGATCTACTCAGTCCATTGTTGGAGGAGGGGGCACAAAAGACAAGAGGGAAAAACAAAAAGAAAAGAAGCCCCTGGCGGCCGTTCCCGAGCGTTCTGGAGCGCTCCGAGACCGTTCTCGAGCGCCTCAGAAAGCGTTCCAGATCGCTCTGGGGCAAGGTATCCTCATCTTTCTTAAGTGTACCTGGAAGAGGACGAGGAGGAGCAAGGGGCGACTGGCGGCAATATCCATGCCTCGAACCGTCTTCGAGGGGCAGAACACACCATTCTCGAGCGGCCGCACGGATGGCGGCGCCCTGGAAGAGCCATGGGAGGAGTCCTGGGCCCCAGAGAGTGCCAGACGCAGGGTCCTGGAGCAGGCACGCGGCTGGTGAGGTCCTGGTAGGGTCCTGGAAGAAGGAGCCGCGCGCAGGTCCTCTTGCTTTCACATGGGTGTTGATGTCCTGGCAGTGGCCTGGTCCTGGAAAGGTCCATACGCACCGTCGTGGAGTGCGAGGGAGGGGGGAGACAGACTAGAGGCGGCAGGAGAGGAGGAGGAGGTCCGCGAAAGATGGAGGGAAGAAGAAGGAGCAACATGGTAATCATGAGCGGAGGAATGCTGGTTCACGAAAGGTGGCATCGAGCACCGCTTACTCCACCATGAAGCGTCGCTGCCAGAGCAGAAGATAGCCACAACGGGGGCCTATTCGAGAAGAACACGTGGTCCGTAGCATCGTGCGAGATGGCCTGTCGGTAGATGCCACGACCATATTGCACATTTGCAGATGCACAAGACAAGTGAGCGAGAACCGACACAGGAGCTGAACAAAAGCATGGCTGGTATCTCAATTCCCTCACAGCGGCGTCCGCCCTCCTGCCCCCCCCCCTCCCCCTGCCCCCCTCACCCATCCTCCTCCCCTTCCCCCTTCCCCAGAACATCCCCCTTGGGTTCCTCATCCTCCTCCCATTCTCCCACCCCCGCCTCCTCCCCCTCCTCCTCCTCCTCCTCCTCCTCATCCTACCACAACCACAACCACCACCACCACCACCACCATCATCATCATCATCATCAGCAGCAGCAGCAGCATCAGCATCAGCATCAGCATCATCATCACCATCATCGGCAGCAGCATCATCATCAGCAGCATCAGCGTCATCATCATCAGCAACCGCATCATCAGCATCATCATCAGCATCATCATCGTCATCATCATCATCATCATCATCATCATCATCATCATCATCATCATCTTCATCATCGTCATGAGCAGCAGCAGCATCAGCATCATCTTCATCAGCATCAGCATCATCTTCATCAGCATCAGCATGATCATCATCATCAACATCATCACAGTCGTCATATAAATCATCATCATCATAATCAGAATCGCCATCATCGTCGTCATCATCATCATCATCATCATCATCCTCATCATCATCATCATCACCACCATCAGCATCATCAGTAGCCTCAGCATCAGCATCAGCATCAGCATCAGCATCATCATCAGCATCAGCATCATTATCATCATCATCATGATCAGCATCGTCACCATCGTCATCATCAGCATCATCAGCATCATCACAGCGTCGTCGTCATCATCAGCAGCATCATCATCAACATCATCATCATCATAATCAGCAGCATCATCGGCATCAGCATCATCAGCATCATCATCAGCAACATCATCAGCAGCATCATCATCACCATCATCGGCAGCAGCATCATCATCAGCAGCATCAGCGTCATCATCATCAGCAACCGCATCATCAGCATCATCATCAGCATCATAATCATCATCAGCATCATCAGCAGCAGCATTATCATCAGCAGCAGCATTATCATCATCAGCAGCAGAACCATCAGCATCAGCAGAAGCAGCAGCAGCATCAGCATCAGCATCATCATCATCAGCATCATAAGCCTCATCATCGGCATGAGAATCTTCATCAGAATCACCAGCATCATCATCATCATCATCATCAGCATCAGCTTCTTCATCATCATCATCATCATCATCATCATCATCATCATCATCATCATCATCATCCTCAACATCATCACCACCACCATCACCACCACCACGTCCATCATCAACATGATGAGCATGGAATCACCAGCAGCAGTGCCAGAATCAGTTAAAGCATCGTCAGTAGCAGCAGTAGCAGCCGTCCGTCTCATCCTCCTCCTCCTTCTCCTCCTCCGCCTTATCCTCCTCCTCCTCTTCCTCCTCCACCTCCTCCGCCTCCTCCTCCTCTTCCTCCTCCTCGTCTGGCAAGCACCCCCCACGGCCAAGATGGTGTTGTCCTTGCAATGTCCGAGGGAAAAGGAGAGAGAGAGAGAGAGAGAAAAAAAAAAAAAAGAGAGAGCCACGAATGGCACGAAGGGAAGAGGGAGGGGAGGACCGTCAGATCCAGGCGACGCACAACCACAGCGGTCAGCTTTCGGACAGATGCGGCCTCTGGAAGTTGCTTTCCCTGGCCACGAATCCGCAGAGGGGGGGGGGGGAATGGACGAAAAGCGGGCCCATGGGTCAGAGCCCGACCCGCGTCACGAAGAGACTGCGACGGCGGAGGGAAACACAGGCCTCCCGTAGTGGGTCGGAGGATCGCGCCGCATCGTTGGATGCATCGCCGATGCATCGACGATGCACTGGCAGCGTCGGCGAGGCACCGGCGCGACCTGGAGAAAACTCGGGCTCCACATCGAGCAGCATCACCGAGGCATTGGCAATGCGGCCCAGCTCTCCGACCCGATCTACTCGGACCCAATCTGGACGGCCTGGAGGAGAGCGAAGCGCCCGAGAAATCCAAGGGGAGGAGCGAGCACGCGAAAGGGGCGAGCCCAGAGCCCTCGACCCTCGACCTTCGCAGGGTGCGCGGGGGGGGCGCCCAGAAACACCAAAAAAATGCCCGCGAGAGTCGCCCAGGGAGGAGGCGTCTCTGGAGAACCCCAGAAGCCTCCACAGGGAAGGGTGGGGGTAGGGCGGGGGGGTGGAGGAGAGGAGGAGGAACCGCCCAAGCGGCATGATGACGGGGAGGGAACGGGGGGGGGAAGGGGAAAGGATGCAGGGGGGAGGAGGGGGGGACTTGTGAGCGCCTCGTGGTCCGACGGGGCGCCCACTGGGAAGTGCGCAGGGTGGGTTCATAGATTACTCGTCGCTGATCTCGGAAAGAACGTCCGACTCGATGATGTCTTCTCGGGCCAACACGACCACCTCTCGAGGTAATGGCTGTTTCACTTGGACCCTGTCTGGGAGGCCCAAGACGGCCCTCAAGAGACGTTCGATCGACAAGACCAAACGAGCATCCCAGAACCTATCCCGAGAGCCGGCACTCCTACCGCCCAGGTGGTTTCGACAATCAGGCATTGGCGGAGGGAGGAAAGTACGTCTTCCTCTGATCTTGAGCCAAACATGGTTACGGAGCGCTCGCAACGGTAACCTTCTTCCCAAGGGGCGGAGTCGCTCCACCGGGGAACTGGGTCCCGAGGGAGGCGGGCGAATGACGCACCAGCCTCCCAGTCGCTCCCACCACTCCATGCCCCAAGCTCTCCACTGTCTGTCAGTCCTACGTCGCCGCACCGACTCCGTGACATGCGAATCTGGCATTTTAAGCGGTCGCCAGTCATGGGGCCGACCGACCCGGAACTCCACGCAATGTGGATGTACTACATAATGATAACTGCTCGAATTCCCGCCCCAGGCTACAAGGTTGGTGCACACAGTTTTGACTCCAAGCTGGTTCCTCTAGGGGACCTCTGGCCAGTGACCTGAAAACGCCTCTGGGGCCCTCCAGAAGGTCACCGATGACTGCCCAGCGCGCCCCCGGCCGGAAGGAAAACTTTACAAGGATGGTGACTGCCCAGGAAACGTCCTCTGACTATACAATCAACGTGCGCTGTCATGCTATGCCCCACACACCGCAAAAAGGCGCTAAAACTGTTAAAGGATTCCGTCGGAAACTTCCCCACTTCACGGGGGAGAAGAAAAGGAGGACGGGCAAGGCTGGCTCGCTGGGGCAGCCCATACGGAGAGGAGGAGGAGGAGGACGACGACGACGACGACGACGATGAGGACGACAAGGATGAGGAGAAGAAAAAGGAGGAACCGCCCAGACGGCATGATAAGGGAGGGGGGAGAGGAGGAGGAGGAGGAGGAGGAGGAGGAGGAGGAGGAGGAGGAGGAGGAGGAAGAGGAAGAGGGAGGAGGAGGAGGAGGAGGAGGAGGAGGAGGAGGAGGAGGCAAGGCGGAAGAAGGCAGGGAAGCAAAGGAGGAAGTAAGGCAGGGGAAGAAGGAACGATGATAACGAAAACGCAAAACGGAAGGGCTGGAGCAGGGCGGGCGAATACGACAAAGGAACTGAAAGCCATGTGAAGCAGCATGGGGCACGCCGAAAGAATACCGCAGGCGATCCTGATGTTGCCTTCCCCCATCTGGGCAATTTTCCTCAACGTTCACAGCAAATCTGGCGACCTGCTTTGAACGCAAAAAATAAGTCTGGAGACCCGCGCCGAAGATACTAAGTACCTAGGTTTTTGGATGACTCGTGAAATCGGGGGCGCCCAAGAGGAGGGCGCCCAAAAGGGGGCTCGCAAATCATGGCAGGAGGCACGTGCCCGGACGAGGAGCGGCGCCAGGGGGCGCGTTGAAAGAGAGGGCGCCATTCAACGCTGAGGGATACCATGGACCAGACCATGCTTATCCCCCCAATAACGTGGCTAGTCCTGTAAAACGACTGACGCGTGGGGAGGGGGGGGGGGGGGCGCGTCTCGCCACCGTCGCAACGCGCGACGGCGGGCGGCTGCATGAAAACCCGCCCCGCGCCACCGCTCCGTAGGGCGGGCCATGCCCGCGCGCGGGCTTTCCGGCATGCCGCGCGGCCGTGCGCCGGGCCCTCTTTCGCTCGCCCCCACCAAGCGCACGGTCGCAATGTCTCCCTGATGCCGCCTGGCCGCGGGGCGGGACATCAGGTGCCCAGTCATGTCTGCGGCGCCACACCTGCCCATAGTGGCAAATCTGGGGCACGGCGTCCGCCCAGGGCGTTGCCCTCTGCGCGCCATGGCGCAGCTTTGGTTCCCGGGGGGGGGGGGGGGGGGCGACGCACGGCGCGTCCGTCGGCCATAGTGCGTCGGACGCGGCCGCGGTCCGCGTTGCTCAGGGGTCGGCCCATATTGACCACTGGTCTTCCGCTTTGCTTCCATCCGCTCTTTCTGAAGGGCTCGCTTGCGCCTGCGTTGGTTGCCCGCGAGGGCCCTTCCTTCTCCCTCTGTGTCCTCGGGTCGGCCCAAAGTGGCCCGTGGCGACCCTGTTCGTGCCCATGGCGGCCAAAAATCACAGGTTCCGTACTGGTCTGCGACGGGGGCCTGCTTGGGCTCCTCCAAGTTCCTACGGACCTGCGTGGCCCTGGAGACACTGCGCGCGCCCGCAACGGTCAAACCCCAGGTTCCTCCTCGGTCCGCAAGGGGGGCCCGCTCGGGTTCTCCCTGACCCCATTGCGGACTTCAGGGCAGGCCCGCGGCAGCAAAGGTGCTTTCGATCGCGCCCATAGCGGCGAGAACCAAGGCCCCGCTCCTGCCCGCGCCCACCAGGGCCCCGAGGGCCGCCGCGCTCCCCCAGAGGGTCGCGCTAGCATCCCCCTAGAAGAGCCTCATTGTCAGAGCTCCCGGCGGGCGCCGTGCCACGGCGGCGCACCCCTTGCGCTCGCATCGCTTGTATCCTCCACCCACGGCGGGCGCCTCTCGGAGC